TGGAGACGCACGAAGTCGCGTCGTCCCACTTCTCAGACGGGGAGACTGAGGCCGCAGTCCGTGAAACGGTGCCGCCAGAGCCCATCTAGATAAGCTGCGCGTCCTGCCCCGGGAGAGGCCGCCTGCGAGGACTTTGCACCGTGGCTCGGAGCCATCTTCGCCGGGAACAGCTACGGGCGTTCTCCTGGGTGTCTCTAGGGCGCTGGGCGCCGTTGGCCACCCCTGAGCCTCTCTTTTCTCTTCCCTTAAAGCGCGATCAGCATCCCGGGGGACCGAGCGCCAGCAGAGGAGGGTCTGTGTGAAGTGGGGGCGCCTGTGGCTCAGTGGATGTGGCTGTCACTTAGGAGCACGCTGAGCAGTGACTTAGCTCTCTCAGCCTCGGTTTCCGCGGCTGCAATGTAGGGATAAGAAAGGACTCGCCTCACGGAGCTGTTGTGCAGAATAAACGGAGCCCCTGGCACGCAGGGGGACGGGGTGCCACTTAGAAGGTGGGAGATGATGGCCTGAGGCAGAGGAAGCCGGACAGTCTGAAAGAGGATCCCTGGTGGCTGGGGCAAAGCGAGTGAGGGTTCCAGGCGACAGCCGGGCAGGGACCAAGTCACAAAGGGCTACTTAGTCTCCTGTGGCTGCCGGAACGAATGATCATGAACTTGGTGACTTAAAAGAACAGAACAGCCTTCTCACAGGTCTAGAGGCCAGAGTCTGAAACCAGTTTCCTGAGCCAAAGCAAGGTGTCAGCAGGACGGCTCCCCCCGCCCCCCCCCCGCGAGGGCGTAGGGGAGAGTCTGTGCCTGTCTCTTCCTGCTTCTCGTGGTGGCTGCTGGCATCCCTGGACTTGTGGCCTCATCACCTCAATCTCTGCCCCTGTGGTCACATTGCCTCCTCTTCTGTACCCATCCGATCTCTCTCTGGTAGAGACACTTGTGGGTGGATGAAGGCCCACCCCGGTGATCCAGGGTGATCTCCCCCATCACCAACCTTAACCTTTCTTTATGAAGTAGAAGTTGCAGGTTCCGGGTGAGGGCCTGATGTCTTTTGCTGGCCATTGTTCATGCCACAGAACAGTGGAATGAATTTTATTTTAGGCCCGCAGTGGTTCTCAACCTTCCTAATGCCGCGATCCTTTAATACAGTTCTTCATGTTGTGGTGACCCCCACTTTCATGGTTACAAATTGCACATAATGAAAGCATAGTGATGAATCACAAAAACAGTATGTAATTATATATGTGTTTTCCGATGGTCTTAGGCGACCCCTGTGAAAGGGTAGCGACCCACAGGTTCAAATTTAGGGCCTGACGGTTTCAGGGGGCCAAGACCTGACTTGACAGTGTCACTGGTTGATGCTGACTGAATGCTTGGCCCACTCAACTGGATGTTTGCTGCTCCCTCCTGATACACCTGACTCCCCCCCCACCCCCCAGGAGGTGCTCAGGAAATGAGGGGTGCTTCTTAGTAGCTACAAAAGCATTACCCAGAGACGAGCCTCTCTGCTCTCTGCTCTCTGCCCGAGCCCAAGTGCAGAACCAAGTGCCTGGGCAAACGCTTCATGTTATTACGACACAGAAAACAATATGATGACTGTTTCCCAGGCAGATCCCCAAACAATAGAGTGGTTTTGTGTTGGTTTGGGTTTGGATTTTGTTTTTGAGCTAATCCCACTTTCATTCCTTTCAAATGGCAGCGGGCGAGACTCAATCCCGGCATTGTTTTTTACTGGGACGTTTTCTTCGAAGCCACCTTTGTTCACTGCTCCCCCCACCCCCAGTCAGAAAAAGTGGGAAGGGACCTGTCCGCGCAGGCGGGGGCCTGCCGCCCACCCAGGGTCTCAGCTGGCGCCATGGGAGCCTAGATGAGGAGGTGAGGCCTGTTTATTCTCAGGGTTGTTGCCCTGCCCCAGGGTCCGAGCAGGCCATGGCTGTGATCACGTGAAGCACACGTCTAGTCTCAGTTCTCACTTCTGCACAGGCTCCCTACTCCGACCAAGCCCTGATGGGGCACTGGGCCTGCCCCACCTCGGGTGGTTGGGGCAAGCTGGAGGGGCCCTGACCAAATGCTTACTGTGCACCTTGGGTGTACCAGGCACTGGGAGCAGAGCTGTGAGCCCTCCGACCAGACCCCACCCTCAGGGAGTCTGATGGGAGAGACAGGGTAGATACCCGAACCCACAGGTCAATAGATACATGATTACCAACTGTGATCACCTTACTCCAGGGGGAGAGCAGGGTACCCTGAGAAAAGAAGAGTAATTGGGGTTGGGGTGTCATTCAGATAGCTGCGTCAGGGAACGTCTACATATTTAAGCAGAGGTCTAAAGGACAGATGAGAATCAGGCAGGAAAAGAGCACTTCAGGCAGAGAAATGTGCAAAGGCCCTGAGGTCAGAAAAATCTGAAGAAAGACAGAGGTTATGAGTTGAGGGAATTAGGAAGAGATGAGGTTCCAGAGGCAGCCAGGGGCCAGATCACCTAGGGTTCAAACCCTCAGCAACGGAGTGGGTTTTATTATTTAAAAAACACACACACAACAACAGACCACTAGAGGACAGTTATAAAAATTAAAATAGAATTACAGTCTCTATCCCACCTCTGGGTATATAGCCAAAAGAATAGAAAGCAGAGCCTTGAAGATATATTTGTACACCTCTGCTCATAACATTATTCACGGTCGCTAAAAGGCAGGAGCAACCCAGGCGTCCACTAATGGATGGGTATATAAATAACACCTGGTATATATGTATTCCACAGTGGAATACTATTCAACCTGAGAAAGGGATGACATTCTGACACATGCCACATACAACATGAACTTTGAAGGCATCCAAAGTGACATAAGCCAGTCACAAAATTACAAATACTGTATGACTCCACTTACATGAGGTATCAAGAGGAGTCAAACTCGCCCTAGCTGGGTAGCTTAGCTGGTTAGGTTGTGGGTTCCATCCCCGGTCACTTACAAGAATCAACCAATGAATGCATAAATAAGTGGAACAACAAATTGATGTTTCTCTCTCTCCCGCCCCTCCCCCTTCTCTCCCTCCCTACCTCCCCCCTCCCTCAAATCAAAAGAAAGAGAGTAGTCAAACTCATAGAAGTAGAAAGCAGAATGGCTCTTGCCAGGGGCTGGGGGAGCTGAGAATGGGGAGTTAGTGTTTCATGGGGACCAAGTTTCAGTTTGAGAAGGTGAAAAAGTTCTGGAGATGGGATGTAGTAGTGGTTGCACAACAATGCAAGGGCCACAGAACCATACACTTAAAAGTGGTAAATTTTATCTTATATGTATTTTATCGCAAAGAAAAAAAATGTTTAAGTCTTTCAATTAAAAAGCATTTTAAGTGCACAAGTGGTATGTAGATATGGAAACACAAGGTAATAAGTGCCTGAAGTTTAGGAAACAGTGATCTGGTCAAGCTCCTTCCTGTCACTGTTGGGACATCGGTCCATCTCAGAGGAGGACAGAATTCAGCTCAAGTTGCACAGTGAACCGGTGTGACCAGGGGCCAGGTGGCTCTTCTGGTCACTGAGCGTCTCCGTGGGGTTGGAAGTGGGCGTGCGTGAACACAGAGCCAACAGCGTTGGTGGGCTCTATTGATGGCAGGCCAGCACCCATTCTCCGCACGGCCACCACGCCTGAGCTCCCTGGGGTGGGAGAAGACATTTGAACAGAACCTTGAAAAGTGCAATTGGAGAAGGGGCATCATTCCAGGTGGGTGGTACAAGAGCGAAGGGTGGGTACCAGGAAGCTGAGCACGTTGGCTGCTGGCCGGCCTTTGCGATGTCTCCGTGTTGAGATGCAGCCGAGACTTGTCCGGAAGGGGCAGGTGCCTGCAGGGCCCTGCCACCCTCCTCGGGGCCAGTTATTTATTGGCTCAGAATGAGGCACAGGTCAGACTTGGGGTTTGGTTATTTCCTCTGCCTGGACCCTTCTGCCTCTTGGAACAGGGGCGGAGGTTGTTTGGAATGGGAGCGCCAAAGAAAGGGCATTAGGATGAACTATGTGTTCAGTGATCTGTGGCTCCAATTCCTGAGAGATGTGGCCAAGCCAGGGTTTGGGTGAATCCACCTCATTCTGCCCAGGTGCCAGCTGCACCAGGAGGTCTGGACCGGGACTTCCTGCCCCTGGCTCACCCTTACCCTGTAGTTTGCGTTCATTCATTATTCAACCTGCACTCCTTTTAGCTCCTTCGCCACATTTTGTGTCCTAGACCCTAGGGATTTGGGGGCAAAGAAGACGCTTACAGCCCTGGCTGGGTAGCTTAATTGGTTAGAGAATCTTCCAGATGCACCAAGGTTGTGGGTTTGACCCCTGGTCAAGAGACAACAAATTAATCTCTCTCTCTCTCATCAATCAATCAATTAAAAAAAGCTGGTTCAAAGGAAAATATATGTATACAGGGTGGAGCAAAAGTAGGTTTACAGTTGTAAGTACATGAAACACACAGTTTATTCTTGTATTATTATTTTTCACAGGAACAACTGTAAGCCTACTTTTGCCCCACATATCTCCCAATCAAGAATGCTGAAGGGAATTTGCTAATAGATGCAAAACTGGCTTCTACCACAGGGTGGAATCAGTCATATCTTACCAATGTTTATTTGCATTTTTATGACCTGAATTTTAAATGGTTTTAAATAATATATTTTACTTAACAAATATATTCAAAATGTTGTCATTTAAACATGTGATCAATATAAAAAGTTAATGAGCTCTTTCACTTTTTTTGTACTACGGTCTTCAAAATCCCACGTGTATCTTACTGCTCGGTAGACGCACAGTTAGTGGCTACTACATTAGCACAGCTTCGGACAATACCTAATATTCCATTGAAAGAACGTCCAGGAAACATTTTGCCTTTTCCAAAGTCTTTTCCGATTTTTTTCTGACAGTTTTTTAATTAAAAGAAAAAATTACACGAAGTGACTGTCCAGCCTTGTCGAATGCCTCCAGGGATGGGGAATGTCACCATCTAACAGGGACCCCGTCTCCTTTCTAACAAGCCCATTCTTTAAGGAAACCTTCCTTTTTACTTACCCAACAATATCTCGATCCACTCCATCAATAATATTAGTCGTTAAAAAACAATATATAAACTTCAGGTTCAGAGGACTCGACAATATAGTTTCGTTTTCGTTATATCTATGTTTATGGCTCTTTTTTTTTACTGATGGCAAAGGAAACTTTCCGTTTTTGCTCAGGCTACAATGTTTCCACTTAAAAACGTGTAAGTAGTAAAGAGACGGAACCAGTTTGAGAATAACGGCAGGGACTGTGTAGCTGAACTTTAAGCTGAACGACCACAACGAACTGATTCTCAAACCGCGTCACCCTGCGCTAGAAACTACATCCTAATTACAGCCAGTCCTCCAAGCAAGTCAGGATGGCCGAGCGGTCTAAGGCGCTGCGTTCAGGTCGCAGTCTCCCCTGGAGGCGTGGGTTCGAATCCCACTCCTGACATTAGCTGTTTTTTTTCTTCTTTCCTCCCAAGCTCTTAACGAAAGTGTGTACATTGGACTACGCTATAAAAGTTCCACAGTACACAGAGCGGGACTTTCTCTTTACAGTCTGGAGTTTAGTAAAATATCATCAGGAAGAAAATGCCTGTTAAGAAGAAAACAGCTGTTTTTTTTAAGAAGATTCAAAGAGTATCCAAACGTGTGAAATATCATCTAGTTGATTTGGAGTTACCGCTGAAAAGCAAAAAAAAGGAGTCTTGTCAGGAGTGGGATTCGAACCCACGCCTCCAGGGGAGACTGCGACCTGAACGCAGCGCCTTAGACCGCTCGGCCATCCTGACTACACGAGTCCAGCCTCACCAGAAAACCTTTCCGGAAGATCTCTAGTCTACGCATGCGCACGTGTATGACATGGTTGCGCTCGGGGAGAGGCGGAGTAGGGCGCCGAGGCGGCGACAGGGGGCGCACACAACTCGTTGAAGGAGAATCTGAAAATCCCAGAGGCCCGGGGCCGCTCCGCCGTGCATGCATTTGAGCTTCCGACGTGCATTCATTCTGCACGCATGCATGTGCTATTCACATCCGTGTGGAATCT